AACATGTCTATTATGTGTGCTGGTAGTGTCATGTACTTCTGCAGCAAAACAACCTGCCTTCACAACGGTCAGGTTTCCTAATCCCTTAGTCCTTGCTTTCAGTATAGTTAGGATAGCAGGTAGAATGTTACCCTCAAGTTTCTCTGAAATCAACCTTCTCTTGTTCCATAATACCATTATCATCTCTCTAATTTTGTCAGCAAGCTCAACTATAGGAAGATCCTTCCAATCTCTAATCCAGTTATTAAAAGACTCTGCAAGATTGTTGGTAACATAGTCGCACTTAATTTCTTGATTGAAAGCACTTCTCATCCACAATAATTTGTGGTGGTTATGAAGTTATTTCAATACTTCAGGGCAAGCTGTCATAATTTCATGGAAGAAATATTGAAAAACTTCAGGCCTATATGTCCTTACTGCATGATACATTTTTGAAAAAATATCTCCACCAAATCTTTTTATGAAATTTTGCATTAGATGTCTAAAGCATTCTCTATACTCAGCATTAGGGAAGACATCTTTAACAGTTTTCTCTAAACCTTTGCATGCATCAGTGCAAATAGCAAGTAGTGGTAGGTTTCCTATTGCTTTGTGTAGCTGAGTCATGAACCATGTCCAGTTATCTATTGTTTCCCCATCTATGAAACCAAAAGCAAGAGGGTACATCCAATTATGACCATCTATTGCAACAGCTGCAGCCAAATGTCCATTCCACCTACCATTAAGTGCAGTCGAGTCTACGCTCAGATAAGGCCTACAACCCTCTAAAAACCATCAATGCAAGGACTTAATGCACATAAAAATATGTGGAAGTAAACCTTGCCATCTACCTCCTTTAAGTTAATTTCAATCACACTACCTGGTGACCGCTTCAATACCTCTGCCCTCCAACTGAACAACATTTGGAAGCTCTCCTCCCAGCTGCCAAATATTTCCCTCAAGGCAATATTCCTTCCCCTTGCCACTGTGTCATAGTGAATTTCACACTTGTGTTTCTCTTATAGCTTCTTCTACAATTCTTTAGGGCCCATGTTGGGACTCTTCTTAAGGTGGTGAATAGCCTTTGATGCTACCCAGCAACTTGTTGGAGTGGTGGTCTTCCTCCTTGCACTAGAAGTGCATGTATGCCGACAAATCAAACATGTGACCTGCAAAATACCAATGAGTTAGATATTGACCAGCAACAAAAAATGGAGAAAAATGTTAGCCACTAGTTAAACACCTTAATGGTTGCCCCATCAGGTTGCCTCCTTCCAACAATATGCCACGGACAACCTTCTGCATTGCAATCCCCAATGTACCGTTGTGGCTCATATTTCACTATGTGCAGCTCGAACTCCTCATTTATTGCAAACTGCCTCATAGCCAATCTGAATTCTTTCATGTTAGGGTACACAGTGCCAATGTCCATACAAGGGTTGTTTGTGTCATAGACTAAGATTCTCTTCCCTGGCACATGATCGTCAACAGGAATGGTAGCCCCAGCTGTGTCAATCTCCTCCTCAATAGTGGCATTCCTATTTTCAGGCCCGTTTTCCATCTCTGTAGAAGCCTGCTGCTCTTGAGATCGATGCTCATCATCCTCGGTTCTCAAACCCAACAGACAAAATAATTGATCCTCATCAATTATTTCTTGCCTGCCCTCACCCTCTTCATCATTTGTGTCAACAATCTGCAGGTTGTCCCATTCAACACCTCCATAATATTCTATAGCCAATGCATTGCCACTAACATCACCACATCCATGGTCTACAACCTTTGCATTGTCACCAACATCACAACTGTCTACTACAGTATCTATTCTAAACTCAAGCTCCACATCGAGCCTGGATAAAGCGAATGCAAGAAATATAGTTAAAATTCTATACGAATAACTCTATCAATGTTTCGAACTATGTTCGAGGACTATAAATAGAGAGAGAGAGAGAGAGTGCATACCGAGGAATTAGATCACTCCAACTGCAATCCAAGGGGCGGAACCAGCTTAGGGGACGTGTCGACTGGGGACGCACCGGCCTGGCGCGGCAACCTGGGCGCCGGCCTGGCCCACGGCCTAGGGCGAAGCTGAGGCGGGAGGCGGCACCTGGCCTGGGGCGGCGGCGACGCTTGGATGGCCTAGGGCGGCAGCAGCGCTTGGATGGCCGGGCGGAGGCGGGAGGTGGCACTTGGATGGCCGGGCAGAGGCGGGACGCGGCACCTGGTGCGTCGATCCGTTTTGACCACGAACGGGGAACGGTGAGTATCGTATAAGGAGAAAGCAGGCAGGGGTAGAAGTGGAAGGATGTGTCTTCTTTTTTTTCCACGAATTAAAACTACCCAAAATATATTTCAGCGGGTTACACCAGTCTCATAATGACAAATGAGCGAAACCACTTTGCGGGATGGTAAAAGTGTGAAACCAGTTTTTGATGATGGGTGAAATACCAAAGTCTCCCTCTCGATGGAGCAGTTTCTGTTAGCATATAGGAGATAGGATAATTTTAGGATTCATCAGGAGTTTTGTTAGGCTGAGAAGTTGCAGAAACTCTCATCTCTGGAGGTTATCCTTGCAATCATGTAATAAATACAATTATTACATATATAAGTATACATCAAATATCTCTCTCTACTGACAGCGAACGAAGTGTTTCTGTCCACCAATGTCTTGAGCCACATGTTCAGAAAGGCAGATGAGATCAATACGTGTACCGAAGGCGTAGTTCTGCAGCTTTACGTCTTTTGGCTTTCAAAGTGCAACGTTTTCTTTACATTATTTCCCATGCAAACATGAAACATATGCCCATGCGTGCAGCGTGCCCGAGAGCTTAGACGGTTAGACCATGCAATAATCAACAAGTACTAACTCCTATGAATATTTTTGCTACACTAGGACAGAGTTCTCCAAAAAAAAAATTACCCCCAATTTATTTCTTTGTATCTGAGCACATAGTTTGTTTTAAGCTAGTTTATATTCCATAAGTGCCTTCAAGAACAATAAATACTCCATAATAAAATTGACTTTAATCACCTAACAAATAATAATAGAATAGATGTTGACATTTTTTCAAATTAATACAGTTGGTCTAACTTATTAGGATGCAATGGATTTTAAAACAGTTGATAATTTAATTTATTAAGAATGATCTTGAAAAGATTTAACAATTAATTAATGAATAATTCTTTTGAAATAAACGTTAAATGCTATCAACAAGTACTAACTCCTATGAATATTTTTGCTACACTAGGGCAGAGTTCTCCAAAAAAAATTACCCCCAATTTATTTCTTTGTATTTGAGCACATAGTTTGTTTTAAGCTAGTTTATATTCCATAAGTGCCTTCAAAAACAATAAATACTCCACAATAAAATTGACTTTAATCGACTAACAAATAATAATAGAATAGATGTTGACATTTTTTCAAATTAATACAGTTGGTCTAACTTATTAGGATGCAATGGATTTTAAAACAGTTGATAATTTAATTTATTAAGAATGATCTTGAAAAGATTTAACAATTAATTAATGAATAATTCTTTTGAGATAAACGTAAAATGCTATTTTGAAGACATATTTGGTAAAAAAAAAAAGAATGATATGTTTTCAAGCAATATGTGTGTATTAGCATTATATCTTATAGATAAGTTTAGGGCCTCATAATAAATTTAGTATAGGGCCTTGCCCTGCAGTTGTTGGGAAAAAGGGCCGAGAGAAAGGCCACTCATGTTTTCACGAGCTGAAGACCCACTGTTGTAGAATGGACAACTTATAGTGGTTAGGTTCGAGTTCGATCCCTAAGTCTAAAAAATTGTGATAAAATTTATGACATTTATAATAAAAATTTTGATGTCCCCTCCCACCTCACAAAATTTGTACGTTTTTTTTTTATGAAGTTGCTGTTCTTCAGCACTACTTCAGCGATACTTTTCAGCAAACGAACAGTGTTTTTCTCTCACGACAAATCGACATAAGCATCAGCATAAGCCAAATTTCAGCGAAACGAACAGGGGTGAAGAAACAAAAAATGAAATAGATAAATTGGACCAACTCAAATAGTTAAGGAGACTAAATCAAAACAAATGTTAGTTTACAGATTTACCTGAACATAGTAAAAGCTTGAAGAGAGGTAATAGGTAGTTTGGACCTTTTGAAAAGATAAGTGGTTGCCAAACTAGACCTTGTATTCAACAAGTTATTCAGGAATGATGATTAAAATTTTTTGACCTACAGGGGATAAGATAGTCCTTGAACATTTTGCTAAGAAGACCTCATGCATGTTGAGAAAACCCACAGAGTACTGCCCCAGCCATAAAGACAGCTTAGTTCCGGGCCTTTGCCTGTATCGGAGCACTATGGACTGCAACAGCTAGAGTTTCTGGCAATTTCAAATACTCCCTTCTGAAATGCCAATTTCAAATACTCCCTTCTGAAATGCCAATTTCAAATACTCCCTTCTGAAACTTATATCAATGAATTTGTATTCAAAGTGGCTCCTAAAATATATTTATTCTTTAGCAAATGGCAATAGATCAACGTCTTAAATATATTTTTATATGTTTGACTTTTTTCTTGATCAGAATACGCTTATCATTCTGGGAGGAACATTCAGTAATGAAGACATTGGTAGACACGGAGTCGTGGGAAACCCATTAAACATGACACCAAGCAAAGCAATCTTCCTCAGCTGTGTGGGCAATTTACTACTGACAATATAATACAAGCAAACAGATAGGTAAACCTAGATTGAAATGTGTAAACAATAAAAAATTGAAATTAGGCATCCACAGTGACTCCAAGCAAAACAGCATGTCCATGGCTCCGAAACGTCTTATTGAAATGAGCTCATTGGAAGGTGATCCAAGTGAAGAAGGCCAGGCCATCTTCCAAACAGAAGGCACGTAAGAAAAGGAAGCCTCAGTAGTTTTGTTTGTGGCCAGGGAAAAGGATCTACCGAGGAATTGCTCGCAATTGCCCACGAGCATCAAAAAGCGGTTTCTCAATGTTTCTACTGTACCATTGTGTCTCTATTCTACCATTCCACGCTGCTTGAAGATTTCAAACATGGTAGAACCGATCTTCGCTGGTGACTCGACAACGGTAACACCGGCCTCTCTGAGTGCCTTGATTTTGTCCTGGGCAGTACCCTTTCCTCCTGCCACGATAGCTGCACATAGTTCACAACAGAAGGATCAGACTGGATTAGCACATGCAACACTTGTGCCAAACCTGATGAAAAATTGCATTAGTACAGATTAGTATGTGTAATATGAAATACAATTAGTATGTGTAGCTAAGGGCCTATTCGGCACACAATTCTAGCTCCAAAATTCATGCACGATTTTGAATTTGCAACATATATTAAATGGCTAAAACATGTATAATCCAAAATACTTTTAATGTTCCCACAGCTCCAGCTCCAAAATTTTGGAACTGAACTGTGCCAAAAGTGAAGTCAAAATCAGAATGGCCAGATGAATGAATAACAGCACTACAGTTAGTTGATGACTACAGCTATTCAACAATGCAAACCAGGTTTGTCATTGCAGTAAGCCAGTAACAAGGGATTTTCTCAATTTTGCAGACATGATTTCAACACTAACACAAAAAAAATATACAGAATTGCCCTCACCTGCAAATGCTTAAACAGATACCACACCTGCAAATGCTTAAACAGATACCACAATCATCCTGGTCCGATACAGTCATACAGAATTGCCCAGACTCATGAACAATAGAATGGTAAAAAAGATGTTCCCAGTAACTTATCTCAACTAAATGCAAGGATCATATTTCAACTTAATACATTAAAAGTACAATTGAATGGAGCTACAACATGTAGATTAAGAATTACAAAGGGCAAAGAATGAAGAGCTAGGATGGTACCTCCAGCATGACCCATGCGACGGCCTGGGGGTGCCGTAAGTCCAGCAATGAATGCAACGACAGGCTTTTGTGTTTTGCTTTCCTGAGGTATTTCAAAACAGATGAAATTAGTAGATAGGAAATGTAACTTTTTATTCAGCACTAATAAAAAGATAAGCGCCAACAACCAAAACACAAGACATGCATCCCTATAAATCAATAGCAGCACTTCAGAAGTGACTGGTGACAATTTATCCCTTTATGGAATCAATAAGGCATAAGCATTAGTTTTTAAACTTCTAACCTCACCAGTCATTCCATTTCACATGAAAACCTTTTTGAGTTCATTGTAGCTACCTTAGATCTATGCAAGACTGCAAGAATATCTCTTAATGCAATGACACGCAGCTCCCCTTCGCAATTGAAATATGGCAAGAGTAGATTGCCGACAAGTAGTTTTACTAAATCTGAATGCATATATCAGATGGTTAAGATGGTCTAGAACATGCGCACAACAATGCAGCTTACTTAGGAACTGTATGGACTAGCTTAAGCTAGAGTTGTGGAATGCTAGGTTAAATCAAGGCCAAGGCATCTCGCTTAATTCTGGGTCTTTCCTACAAGCACAATCCCCCTTTCTACTAAACTGCAAGGTAGCTAACTTGAGGCAAGAACATATGCAATTGTTTATGTGTTGTGTTTACTTTCAAACAATGCTTGAATAAGTCAGTTCATCAATCGAAAACATGATCCAAATATGCATCATCGTATTGTGTGAAAGGCAAAAAGGACCTTCAAGGTATGTATCTTCGAAACATAGTGCCAACTGGCAACACTCAAATACTCCAGAGGAGACAACAGTTCAGAAATATTTTGTGAAATAAAGGCCAACAACATCGCATATTTGGGTACTTTTTATTAGCAGTCTAGTACTCTGGTATGCATAAAAAGACAAATTAAATACTCTATGTAGAAATAGCACACGTTCATCAATTAAATACTCTGGCAAAAGAATATTTGAAAAGACATCAGTTTTAATATTCATCAAGTTTGAACCGCAATTAAGGATCATAGAAAACAAATAGATAGGTCATAATTTTGAGTGCTCAAGACAGAAATTGCATGGAACTTCACTAAACCATGAGGGCATGGGTGTTGCAACATGCAGAATCAATACAACAATATCGCATGTAATACAGAAAAAAGGCCATCCAAACTAGTGCCCGCTCTTACCTGGATGAATGTTGCAGCATCCTCCTCAGCCGTACCTCCAATTTCACCAATGAGAACAATACCTTAAAGACGGAGTAGTATTTAACACTGAGAACAATACAAAATGGGATGGAGCTGTGTTGACTGAGAAAAGCATATGGATGTAGCATTTGAAATAAAAAAATGCAGTTGAAGTATTCAAGTACCAAGAATGCTAAACACAAGGGATTAATGCCACAGAGAAGAGTACAGAATCCAGGAAGAGATATTTCATAATAGATTTAAAAAAGGAAGGTTTTTGCTTAAAATATGAAGGTGTACCTTCTGTTTGAGGGTCCTCAACAAACTTTTCAAGGCAATCAACAAAATTTGTGCCATTGAACGGGTCACCACCAATGCCTACACAAGTTGACTGCCCCAAACCTACAGCTGTTGTTTGAAACACCTGTCAAACAAAAATCAAACACGCATTAACCAAACAATTACCTGATTTGGTTCACACATACAAAAAAATAATAATAACAGACATACCGCTTCATATGTCAAGGTACCAGAACGAGATACGATCCCAATACGCCCAGGCTTGTGGATGTAACCTGGCATGATTCCAATTTTACACTCACCAGGCTTAATGATACCAGGGCAATTTGGCCCAATCAATCGAGTTTTAGACTGCCTGTTTAGTGCAGCCTTCACTTTCACCTAATTTGCAAATGAAACTTATGGTGTCACCTCATCAAGTTCCATCAACAAAGCAAAATATAACTAACTGATTTATGACATGAGTCGATAGCAATATGCAGGAAAAAAAAAACACCACAAAAGGAATGTCCGCAAGCAAACCACTCAATGGACAATGGTAGTAAAATCTGTATCTATTAGGATCACCTACATCTATTTACCAAAATTTGAGCCCCATCCTGCACAAAAGAGAAAAATAGCCTACTACATGTGTCTGTGTAAGATAAACTAAGATAAGCGTTGACCACATATTCACACTACTTTCTAGTCCTTTTGCCAAAAAAAAAAAGACTTTGTAATTTATATGTGCAGTGATTTCCAAACCAAAGATGATATGGCATTGAGCAGATTCCTAGGCTCAGATGACTAACAAAGTACAGAAATGGTTGAAAATTTACCATGTCATGCTGCGGAATTCCTTCCGTAATGCAGACAACAAGGTCGAGCTCAGCCTCCATGGCCTCCATTATAGCGGCGGCAGCAAATGGTGGTGGAACATATATAACAGATGCGTTGGCTTTTGTTTCAGCCTTAGCTTCTGCTACAGAGTTAAACACTGGGAGCCCTAAATGTTCAGTTCCACCTTTCTTAGGAGTCACTCCACCAACCTGTTACAACAAAAAATAACCTTAATAGAAAACAAGAGAGACACAGGCTACAGGCAAAACATAAAAATAACAATATTAGATTTAAAAGATATATCTATTTACTGAAATACTGTTCAAACATACAAATCATTCTTTCAAATATTTTGTGCAGCATGAACCTCTTTCAGTTGTATTCATAATAATATTAGTATAATACCACATGGCAGAAAAAGGTCATCTGGGTCAATTCCATTGTCAGAAACAGTGTGCCACATTAATTAAGTTGTATTCGTAATAAGGCCCCGTTTAGATGTCTCCAAAATCCAAAAAAATTTGCACAGTACTCGTCACATCGAATCTTGCGGCACATGCATGGAGTACTAAATGTAGACGAAAAAAAAAACTAATTACACAGTTGGCCGAGAAATCGTGAGACGAATCTTTTAAGCCTAAATAGTCCATAATTGGACAATTTTTACCAAATACAAACGAAAGTGCTACAATAACCAAAAGCCAAAAAATTTCGGAACTAAACACGCCCTAAGTATAATACCACATGGCCGAAAAACATCTGGGTCAATTCCATTGTCAGAAACAGTGTGCCACATTAATTACATGAATCTGTGGTCAAAAACATAATAAAACATGCCAGGTCCATGGACTGCAGCCCATTTACATAAAACAGATTGGAAACAAAATGTGCCTCTGTCCCACTTAGTGAAGAATAATTACATCATAAGTCATACATGATTCTTTTTTTTTTTTTGTTAGGTTGTACTTAGAAGAGCTTAAAAGGTTTCAAAGCATTCATGATGGGTATGATTCTCATAATCTCAAGCTGGTTCAAATCAGGTTTCCTGTGAGAATCTTTTTTCTCAAACCATAATACACTTATGCTCCTGAGAAATGCTTATGCTTCTTGTCTACCAGAGAAATGCTGGCTCAAATCAACTCAACAAATGATAACGAACCCTAGTTTTTTTCCACTTAAACTACGATTTCAGACCTCGTACCACATAAGCAGCAGTTATAGTTGCAAACATTTTGCCTCCAACATCTTCCGTTAAGGGTCGCTCTCAATCGGAATGTAAGGTAGCCAAACGAAAGGGTAAGACCCGACGAAATGGAGATCGGCGACCGAGCACCGACGAGATCGCGCAGCACGAACACTGCCAAACCCTAGAATCGCGCGGCACGGAGCGGAGCACACGGATCGAGCCATTGAGGGGCACATCAAAGGGAGACAGACGAGGGGTGGCCGCGGCGGGGGCGTACCATGTTAGTGCCGTACTCGATGGCCTGCTCGGTGTGGAAGGTGCCGTTCTTCCCCGTGATGCCCTGGCAGATCACGCGGGTGCTCTTGTCGACGAAGACCGCCGGCGAGGGCGCCGCGGCGGCCGCCGCGGCGAAGCCCCGCGCGTGGAGGAGGCGGGAGGCGGCGGACCCCAGCAGTTGCGACGCGCGGCGGGAGGAGGCGGCCATGGCGGACGCGGTGCTGGCGGCGGCGCGTGCTCTTCCCCACTTTCTTTTTTCCCTTCCCTCGACTCGATTCGATTTCTTACGGGCTTTTGGGATGGTGCCCCTCGCCTTCCTTTGTCTTCGGTCTACTCTTCTGGGGTCTCGGCGTCTCACGATCCATTCTTGCAGGGAAAGTTGAGCGTGAAAGTTCGCTTGGGACCCCTGTTATGTCGTTATTTTCAAACGTAGGCTAATCTTGAATCAAGTTTTTAATCGTTTCCTGAACCAATGAACATGGCAACTGCGCATAATGCTTGCGGATGATAAAGTGTTAAATTTGTAGAGGGAAAAAAGGATATCAGAATTTGAATTCGGAAATTAGTGTGAAATAACCTCATGAAAGCAATCCATATCTTTCCATTCTACTATTTTAATTAACTTTGTGTAGATCAGGGAAATAATAAATTGTTTTCTTTCAATCGGCACGTTGAAAAGACAAAATGTCCTATATTTTGATAAATTTGGTATTGGTAAAATTAAGGTTGTGTTTGGATGAGTGACTAAGGAGAGTAGGATGGTCGTATCTCTATTTCCTAGGAAAGGATGGTTCGATTTTGATTTTTGGTTTGAGGGACATGGTCATCACTGTTTTGTGTTTGGTAGAAGAGAAATTGAGAAGTATGGAATGGATGTTGTTTTTGACACCATTAGCAAGCTTCTTAAAGAAATACACGTGAAGTCGTGTTCTAGAAAAAAAGACACCATTAGCAAGCAATTAGTTATGGTCCCACATTTCATCCATGAGCCCACCTGTCATCCTCTTCGTGTCATGTCTTATCTTCTTCCATGATCTCCCTAGTCATGAATCAAAGGCGCCGCTGGAGAAGCTTAGCTCCTCGCCGAAGATCAAGCCTATTCTGGCCACTTCTAGCTCCCTGCCGCCACCCCAATCATGCAGCCTGGCTTGGCTTAGATCTGATCGTTGTCCACGTAGGCTCCCCTGCTCTGCGCCCTGTCCATGTCCATGCCCACACCTGGCTCTGCCATCGCACCTAAGTAAGTTTTTTCTTGATAATTTCTTATGTCAGTTGCTCAACTTCTTCAATATACTTGTTCAAATAAGTTTATAGAACAACTCATTAAATTACTCCCTTCGCTCCAAATTATAAGTCACACTGATTTTTTTGGCACATAGACTTTTGCTATATATTTGAACATAATCGAAGCGACTTGTAATTTGGAACCGATAGAGTAGTAAGGTTTGAGTGGAACTTTTTTCATAATATGAACTAAGTTTATATAAGGCCATATAACCTGGAGTAGCTACTATAAGAACACACAGTGTGCTGACTGCTGAGTTGAGTTCCGTGCTCCAATTGTCTTGTACTCTTACCATGAAGATGTCAAACTTTTAATTTAATTTTGTTCCACGTATAAGCATTGGCCGCGGGTTTAATTTTGTTCCACGTATAAGCATTGGCTCACCGTGTTTCGCTCGTCGCGGAGCCTGTTCGCACGTCGCAGCCTAGGCCGAGCCACCTCCGTGCATCGTCGTCGCCGCGGACGCGCAACCCGCTTGCCGTGCGCCCAGTCGCTCCTGCCATCACCACCCGCCGCTCGCAACACACCCTCCGTAATGCCGTCACCAAGCGCTCGTCCGTGCACGCCGTTGTCCTGGCAAGTGGCAACGCGACTGGCTCGCCGCGGCCCGCTCGCGCACTATTGCCGTGCACGCGCTCCGCTCGCACCGCGCCCGCCGTCGCCGAGTGCCGCATGCCGCGCCCCCGCTCCCGCCTTCGCGGCAGCCGCAGGACCTGCTTGTCACCTTGCTGGCCTCCAGTAGCTGGCCGTGCCCCTCGCTTGCGCACACCGTCGTCGCACGCCGCTTGCGGCGCACCGCTGTGGGCACGCGCAGCGCGCCATGCACCCGCCCACGCATGTCGTGGTCTTGGATCGGCGGGAGAAGAGGGAAGAGAAGAAACAAGACAGGGGGAGAGATCGAGATTCCCATGCATTGGCTGGTTTTTTTATGATCTAATAAAAACTCAATGTATTTTGTGATGAGTTTTCGAGATGTTGTTTCTCGGTGAGGTGAATGTTTTGAAAACTAGTAGATGATTTTGGGTTAGGATTTTCCTTTAAGGGCATGTTTGGCTCATGGCCGCAGCGCGCCACACCTGAACTGTGGCACGCCGTACCCCTGTTTGGTGACTCCCGCGTCTTGGGCGTGCTGAAAGTGTGGCGTTGTTCGCTTTGTAATTCTACTCTAATTCTTGTCAAATATGTGGTGCTCGTTTTGTTCGCAGCATTTACGGCTTAGCTAAACTCGCGGCACGATGATATGCGGAGTGAGCAGGCGTGCGGCGACGCCAGTTATATGCTACCCTGGTGCATAGACACCACGGTACAGGTAAATTTAAATTTCATTAGTAATTTGACTAATATTTACCATATATCGCAAGAAATATTTAGGTATTGCTTTGGTGGTGCACAACCTTGATTTTATTGCTAGCTTCGCCTTTGGACGGGAGCCAAACAAGCCCTAAAGCATCATCAAAACGATTATAAGCGTTGTACAAATCATCATCAAGCCGTTGATTCAGTGAAGAGGACATATATAACATCTAACGAGTATCCCATTTTTACATTGGTTACAACATAGTACAAGTACACCATGCATCGCACCACGAACATTCCATCATCATTGACAATCTACTCCGCAGTCCGCCCCCACAAAAAAATGAAGTTTCATATCGGCCATCAACCTAACAATGCATGTGTGGTAGCACTCCTCAAACTGCTAAGTTCAGCTCCTCATTTGGGGGTGAAGGCCTGATCATCAAGAACACAACAACAAGAATCCCAAATCAGTAACCGAATCGATCGCACAAAAGCTGTGACGACGCATATGCAATGTGGATTAATTGATTCAGCTGACCTGGAAGATGGTGGCGTGGCCGGGGTCGGCGAGGTGGGCGAAGAGGTTGTCGATGGGGCCGGTGCCGGTGTACTCGGCCTGGAACCAGGCGCCCATGACGGCGAGCATGGCGAGGCGTCCGTTCTTGATCTCCTTGGTGCGCAGCTCCTTGATCTTCTCCGGCGAGCCGCTGCCCCAGCCGAGCGGGTCAAACCACAGGCCACCAGGGTACCTTAGCACATGATGAATAAGTAGTGTTAGGCTTTGGTAAGTGATGGATGAGTCTTTGTCTTCTGGATTCGTGCAATAGGAGAGAGATGTACCCGACGTCGGTGCCGGTGAGCTTGTTGCTTGGGAAGATGGGGTCGGTGTTGACGCTTCCGGGCTTGATGATGTCAGCCCAGCGGCGGCCCTCGGCCCAGCCGATGAGGATGAGCTCGATGATGAAGAGGGTGGTGGTGTCGGTGAAGTACTGCTGCTCGCCGGCGGTGTACCAGAAGGGCGTGTTGAGGATGCCGATCTTGGTCAGGAACTCCGGGATGAAGATGCCCGCCGCGCCGAGCATCGCCCACCGGCAGTGCACCAGCTCCGCCTGCACGTTCCACCGCAGGCTCTCCGGGTCAGATCCTGCACACATCAATCGCCAACACATCCATGGACAGTTAGTTATCAACCGCTCAAAGATTGTATATGTGGACAGTGCACAGTGCACAGGAGAAGAGATCGATGGTGATCAGAACTCACCGAGGCCCCAGGGATCAAAGCCGAAGTCGCCGGGAAGGCTGCATGCATCAACGAGACAACAAGAGCACACTGTGTCAGAGTCACACGCAAGGAGAACCACGAATGAATCGAAGACGACTCCAAGGATCAGCCGCCGACCTGCCGTCGAGCCACGGGGGAGGGGTGCTGCCGGGGAACCAGATCGGCCGGTTGGGGTCCGCGGCGGCGCGCACGGCGAACGACGGCCGGGCCGCCTCGGCCTGCCTCAGCAGCATCTTGCCGCCGAGGAAGGAGGACGACGCTCGCTGCCCATTCCTGGGGAGCGCCGCGACGGCGGTGGTGGAGGACGAGGAGGCGGAGACGAGTGCCATTGGGCGCGCAAGCTGTGGCGTTGGAGAGCGTTGGGCTGTGTGGTGGGCAGTGCGCGGCAGTTTAAGGGATCTCGCGGCGCGCGCGCGCCGGAGCGGGGCCGGCTTATCCGCGAGGGGATAGCGGGCGCGGCCGCCTCGTGCCACGCGGCGCGGGAGAATCTGCTCGTTTGGCTCTGGCACGCCGGATCGCGCTGACGTGGAGCGCGCTCCGCTGCGAGCTGATAAAAATCAGGAGCGGGCACGGCATTGGGCGCTGCCATGTAGGCACGCTTCTGCTCATATCTGCTTTCGGCAAAGCACACTGTGACACTCACGTGTTTAAAGTAGAGTGTGCTCGATGTAAATCAAAGACTCAAGAGACAAATAAGAGTGAAAATCATTATTATCCATTAATCTATGGTTGCACGTATATATACATGTGAAAGGATAACTTATGAAGGTGCGTCTTCTGAGAGCGGTTGATCCCTAATAAAGTGATTCATAACAACACTCCTATTGATCAACATCGTCGTGCATCACTTAGGTCAATGTATTGGATCATTTCTCCAAAAACCTTTTGGAAAAAATAAGGAGAAATATGTGTGGATATGCTACTAAAAACTCCTTACAACTCAGTGCGAAAAATAAGGAGAAATTGATACGACATATGTTGATTATTATCTCATTGTAAATTCACATAGGAAAAAAAACTTGGAAGGAAAGACCCATAACCAAATTTAGAGAACAATAAATATGATTTGAGGATCATAATTGTGATTTATGTCTTTGGTATCTTCTCAAAACCCCATGTGGGGAAATAAAAGATATGACATATTTATGTCTTAGATACTGCATATAAAAACCCTGGCGAGGAAAAATATGGCCCCGTTCGATTTACCCCATATTCGGCTTGTTCAGCTTCTTTTTTCAGCCGGAACAGTGTTTTTCTCTCACAACAATTCAGTCAAAACAGTGTTTTTCAGCCAGTTTCAGTCAAAATTCTGGCAGCCGAACAGGGCCTAAGATGTATTCCC